AAGCAATGGGCCCCAACCATAATTCAATATCAACCCTTGCTCCTGCATGCCATCCCTCCAATCACGCATTGCCCAGTCAAGCACCGCGCAAAACAAACGAGGGCTGAGCACACACCCTTGTCTCACGCCACCAGCAATTGGAAAGTTTTCACTAAATTCACACGTGCCCATAACCTGGCCACGTTGATTTGCATGTAAATTTTGCAAAATCCAAACAAGATGTTCGGAGACACCGTGCGCCCGCAAGGCTTGCCACAGAGTTGGCCAATCCACGCGGTCAAATGCCTTGGAAAGGTCCAAACTAATGATCCAAACAGGCGTGTTCATAGACAGGGTTTTGTCAATAACTTGGCTCGCACTAATCAAGTGTTCCTCCACACGCCGGCCACTTCTGAAACCATGTTGTTCTTCAGGCTGGTGTTCGTCCAATGTGTTTTCAATTCGCCCCAAAACCAGGTAAGCGAAACATTTGTAAAACAATTTGACACTAGCGATGGGCCTCATTTCTCACTGCGGCCTTTGTTTTCTTCGGCAACATTGTGAAAGCATCTTGCGCCAAGAATGTGGATATTCGGCGTTCTCCAAAATCCCGTTGAAAAGGTCCAAAATTGAGTGTAACAAACATAATGGGGCATGGTGTAACAATTCAGCCACCAATCCACACTCATCAGCTCACTTGTTACACTTGAGGCGACCGATCGCCGTTTGCAGTTCTTCCATTGTCCAAGGGGGTTCAAATTATTAAATAGATGATTCGGCTTGGTTGGGCTGACTCCAGGTCCACAAAACAGAGCCTCCAGTTCTTCAGCAAATTGACTTGGGGGCGGCGGTTCCGACTGTTTCTTGCCAACGGTCTTCTGCGGCAATGTCCTGCACAAGCGCCAGGTTGTCGGATGTTCAATCCAAGTCTGGATCTTTTGATTTTTCCGAATTCGAAGTTCGCTACGGTGCAGTCGACGAATGGCAAAAGTCAATTGTTTCCGTTCGGTTATGTCCGAGCTGTGTCTCCTTCGAAGTCGCATCGATTTCAATGTCGCAGATGCTTGAAATTTGGTTCGTTCAACTTGGCAATGCCCATGACGTGTGCCAGCCTGAAACAAAGCGTTTTCCAGCGAATCCATGGTGGCACGTGGATTTGCACGCGCAAAGTTTTCCAATGACGAATGAAATTTGTGTGGTTCACTTGCTGCATCTAACTTTGGGGTCCAATACTTCAAAGTTTTCCGCAAATGTTTCCCCTGTTTCGCTTTGCGAACCTTCACCTTTACAACAGCGTGGACGCAGCGATGGTCCAGACCAGTCGCTATCGTAAAATCGTTCCACGCACGTACAAATTGCAATCGTAGATCAGCCACCAGGAAATCAATTTGAGTTTTGTTCCCATCCAGCGACTGTTCACACGTCCAACTGTCTGCGGGGAGAACTGGTGGACCCAACCGATTGAGTATTCGCAAGCCATGTTGTTCGACCCATTGCACCAAAGTGACTCCACGATTGTTCCTGCTACCGTGTCCATTTCTCCCAATGACGTCAGCATCATCAGATCCAAGCAACTGCCCAATGCAAGCGTTGAAGTCCCCAAGAGGGGAACCTCTCCATCAGGAACACAGCCAGCCATCAACACATTCAACAATTCATACAGTTCTTCTACCACGTCGTCCGAAGCCCACGCAGTGGGGAAGTAGCAAGCAAATGCGCGAATGGTAACACCAGCCAGTGCAAAATGTAAACCACAAACTCGGGACGAGTACGCGTGAAAAGATATGTTTTGAATCTGTTGCAAAAAATTCTTTGACAACACCACCCCAACGCTGCGGGAACGATCACCACCCGCCAGGAAAAGTTTGTGTCCCACCAAGGTTTCAAAGATTTCTTCCCTCTCACTGCGTCAAGTTTCTGTCAGAAATATCATGTCAAAATCTGTGTGGTCGAAGTCTGCGACAAAATCATTGAATCGGTTTTCCTCACGAATGCTTTGCAAATTCTTTGTCATAACATGCACAAACATGATTTCATCCCGCTTGACCGAATCATCCGTTTCCCCAGCGTTGCAATCAAGCACAACTTGTCTTCGGTGGCCAATCCCTACTCCATGTCTTCGATGAAGTCACCAATTGCCTCCCGCACTTCCTGGGTCACATGATCCGTGCTGACCCAAGTCACCCTACAATCAGAAGTAATGGCTGCCACTGGCATCACTTTACCGTTTTTGCGCACGCTCATCTTGAACAACTTGTAGCTGACAAACCTCTCGGATTTTGACATGTTTTCCGGTGCCCAAAAATTTCCTTTCTTGAAACGGTTTGTTTCGTTTCTGGGAACGGACAAAGGAAAGCGCATGCATGGGTGAGTCAAAAGTGGCCAGGGCAATGTTGAAGCCACTTGCTGTCAATTTCACCTCCTCAAAACCTGCCACGTCCTGCAAAACCTGCTGCAGAATGCCTTCGACCTCTTCGAGTGTGTCTTCCCCAAACCCACCGATGACAACCACAGACTTGTCCACTTGATCCTCGCCTTCCATCATGTTTTCCGTGGTTGTGGCCTGATTTGCCTCCAGCACTTTCACACGTTCTTCCAAGACCTTCCGGGCCTCCCGTTCTTCAGCGATGTCCTGCTGCATGTTGCGAATGGCCTCATCGCATTTTGTTGCCATGCGCTCCTCGACCTCCAGCATGCCTGCCCGAATTTCTTCCCTCATCATAGCCCTGAGAGCAGCAATGGTGGCCGCGCTCATTTCGACTTTGCTGATCGGATCGGAAGTTTCAGGAACTAGGATCTGGGAGTTGCCTTGGTTCGGTTGCATTTTGGATCGTGTTTGCGCTTCGCGATCTCGAGTGCCTTCAGGCGCCGAGCGTTTGGTGGATGCTGGCATTTCTTCATCCGTCTCTGGGTCCACAAGTTTGAGAAAACCCTTTTCAAAGTCACCACTCAAATCCTGCCACGCACCACAAGCCGTTGCCTCCCCTATAGTCTTTGCCCGTTTGTACTGGTTGAAGCGCTCGAAAGACTTCGTTCCAGGTTTTTTTGGGTTTTCCTGCTGTACCTCAACAATGGACATGGGGTCCTTCAACCCTCCAACCTGCTCCTTGGACAGCGGCATGGCGCGCGTAAAGTGACAACACTTGAGCCACTCTTGTGACTTGAGCCGCTTGAGCCGCTTGAGCCCAAAAAAAAAAAAAATATATATATCATCTGTATATACCAAATGTTTGTGTTTGAAAGAATGTCTTTCCGTTTAGGTGCTTATTTGTGTATGTTAATATGTTATGTGGTATACACGCAAATGCCTTTACATTGCTTGATGTTTATATGTGTACATATTTTTGTTTTATATAACTGTTGATGTAATTGTTTGTACATTTTACCTGTATGCATTGTTGTACGTACGTGCATGCACATGTATAGTATAGTTTGAAAACATTGATGTGAACGAACTCTTGTGTTTAGCAGACCACTGCGGCATGCGTACTAATCACTCTTTCACCCCACCCCACCCACGATGATGATGAGGATCGTGTGCAGGCGCAGGTCTGCAAGCGGTTTCGAACGTTAGCACCCCACCCCACCCATGATGCTGGTGATGATCGTTTGTGTCGCAAGTGGTCGGCGCAAAGGTAGGCACCATTTGTGTTGCAAATGGTCGGCAAACTTGTGTCGCAAGTGAATGCTGGACCCCCAAAACGTCGGCAAACACAAGAAAAACATTGTGCCAACACATTCACATGTTAATGTCGAACGCAAAAATGCAAATTCACACCTGCTGTAACGTGCTGCACTGTAGCGACTGTGGTGACATGCATGCGTGTGTGGTGCGGCAGGCTGTGTTCAACAATTATCCTGCTGTTACTTGCAGTTTTGGCCTCGAGCCCTTGACCTTTCCCCATTTTTTTGGTTTCCTTTGGGCCCACATGGTTATTAAATGTTATTAAGTTATATGTTGTGGCGCGGAGTGGCCAGGGACATGACTTCCCGCTGAATATAGTATCAACAGCACTGCGTGTACAAATGCAGTTCGTGCAGAACACTTGGCTGCGGAATAGTGTTTCTGTGTCTATGCTGATTCACCAACAGGTGAATAACTTTGACATAGCGGTCATTGTACACACAAAACAGCAGAACACTATTGCAAGATGACGACCGCTCGAGGTGAAACAATTGTGTTTTCAACGCGCATTTGTTTGCATAGGTTTTGGCCTGCTGGCTACACAATTTCTTGCTAATGGGTCACGACTGCGTAACTAGCAGGGGTAGCTGCAACCTAAGAACCGGCATGTTGTACCCACACGCCCCCACAGAAGCAGCACACAGGTTGCCCTAAACATGGGAACGCCCGGACTCATGTCCATTTTTTGTTGGCCGTTCAGACTGGTTGTATGCCACTCAACGCCCCCTTCATCCCCCTCCTCACTTGCAATATGTTCCTCGAAACGTGTATCTTGAACCACGCTGTTTTGTTTCGGCACATTTGATGAATAGAGTTTCCACGCCCTTGACCCAGAACGTCGCATCCAAGTAGGCGAATCATGCGGTCATGATGGGCCAAACCGGACAAGGTGTGACCGCCATGTTACATGTTTATCGCGTTTGTTTCCACACGTTGCCACGTCACCCCACCTCTGACTTGAGATCAACTTGTGCCATTGGCCTTGGAATTGGTGACCCACATGGTTAAAGCATAGCATGGCCACTTGCCTCTTGAGAGAAGCTGAGCGGCACGCAGAGTCCAATTGGACGCTGGGGCCGCAATTCAAGTAGCTACTTAAGCAGTTTCCATGCAGCTCGCGGCTTGAAGGGTGAGTGGAAAAAATGAAAAATGACAAACACCCGTGCGCCGCGAGAGAATGAACACCCAATCCACTGCACGGACAACGTTGTCACAGGGAGAATTCTTAGTGTGGAGGTTTATATATTGTCAAAGGGAGGTCCTTGCTTATGCAGACGGGCCGCTTGCAAAAAAATGCAACATACTCGGGGTGATGACTCGCAGCCACGCGGAGGCGATGCCGATTCAGATGGCCCGCAACAATTGGGAGAAGGAAAGTTTCCTTTGTTCCAGCGTCAGCACTGCCCTGAAAACCTACAAATTTTCAGTGCGCACATTCATGAGCAACAGTTCACTTGCTAGCTGCTAGTGAAAAATACGGCGGCGTGCGCTGCCAAGGCGATGCATACACGGGCATTGGCTATTTGGTGTGCAGCAAGAATAACTTGCCCAGCACCCAGCCATTACAAGTCGCAGTTGTGGTAGAAGTTGTTTGGAGGCCAGTTGGGCACTTAAGTTCCTTCAGGCGGTAGTGCTTTATTAATATGAACCATATGAGCCAAGCATGAATCCAAATCGAAATGTGACAGGACACAACAAAAATCTGTTTTACAGGTTTACTTTGTTGTTAGGCCATGACGAGGATGCCCCTGGCATGTTTGCAGGTTGGCGTCTACATCAACATGCGAATGCAACGCAGCATCGTGCCAGACAGCCGGGTGTGCCGTGACAACGGGTTTCGCCCTTAAGCAAACTGAAGAAATCACATTCCAACGTTCACGGAAACAACTCGTTTTCTCAGGCGCACTGTTGGAGAAGAGCGGCCGAGTTGGGGCCACCACTGCGATGTTGCTCTGGGATAGCATGACACCAGGAATGTCAAACAAATACCTATGTCGAATGCACTATGTCGCATGCAAGCACTGGCAAGTCTCAGGGAGGTTTTGGACGGATGATTTAAGATCTGAATGCAATGTTCGAGGATGCGGCTGGTGAGAACTTGCATGATTTTGCCATCCGTTTGACTGAGCCAGGTGGCGTACCCACCAGTGCCAATGGAGAGTGGCCGCAGTACCTCGTTCAGCTGTGAGGCATGTCGCGCTACAGTTCACTTGTCATTGGGTCAAGTGAGCAAAATTATGCGAAATGTGTCAAACACTTTTCAGAGTAGTTGCTCCTTTGTGAAAAGTCGTGACATGTCGTGACCACATGTTTGAGAATGTTTGCTGATAAGAGAGTCCAGTCTGACGCACTGATGCACTTCTTCTGGCCAGATATGCATACGTATTGCGAACGGACGCATGCGTTGAGAGGCGCTGCCGGGATTCACTGGCACAGCCACCGGCACTTGCACTTCTGGAGTGTACAGCCCGTGGGCCCAGTGAATGTTTGTTTTTCCTGACGAGGAGGGCTACGTAGGATACTTGCGGCACATTAGCGTCACCGCCCACAGTTGGTAGAGCGAAAGTCACTCTTGGCAGCATCTTTGAGGTGCAGATGTCAGTGGTTGCACGCGGCTTGCTCAGATGTCTCACAAGTTGATGCGTGTTACCTCTCAGTTGATGAATGTCATGAAGACTGTTAAGCGCGTTTCGTTACATCGAACCTGGAATGCAGGGGCCATGCAGGGGTCGTGGTGCCAGGAAGAGTCCAATCATTGCCAATCTCATTCGGATTTTGCGATCACTTTTTGAGGCCCAAGCCCTGCACGCCCACTGATGCACCAAAACCTTTGAAGGCCTGGCTGGACTCAGGACGGTGCAATTTGATTCTTAAAAGGGGTGATCAATAGATTGATTGGTGGATCCCTTTCTTTGCCTGGATTTGAAACATCCCAAGTTTTGCCAGCTAAGCTATTGGTTCAAGGCTTTTGGATTCAGACCGTCATGCATCACATTGCACAGTTAAGCCTCCCAACGGGTTGAGTGCAGAAACCCGTGCCAAAGCAAAAAGTCTTGACGGGAAAGGCCGTATTTATGTTGGGATTTCATTCTCGAATGCTGCCAATGATGGCCATTTGCGCAGCTAGGTTGTCACACGAATTGAGTGCAGTTTGTTCTCTATCGGAGGTGTGCGCGCCCAACAGAGGAACCAGAGTTCCGGGATGGAAAAGGGTTCGCAGTGCCGTTGTTGTTTTTGCCCAGGTCGGAAGCGTGGCCTTTGATGTGGTTGCGCCCAGCGAAGTGAGGAGTGGGGCCTCCCAGGTATCGGTGGGGCCTTTGTTCCCGCGGCCGGTGGCGTCCACGCGTCCTCGTCGTGGGTCAGTGGAAGATCCAGAGATGGTGGGTGGTAGCCCCGTTCTTACTCTTGAAGGAAGAGCTCTCCACCAGTTGGCAGCACAACTTCGGTAAGGTGGCGCTGGCCTGCACTGTGCATGAAATCGTAGTCTACCCCCTGCACGACAGAAAGACGTGAGAGTGAGTGGGAGTGAGAGTGAAGGTGGGTGAGTGAGTGTGGGTGAGAGTGGGAGTGAGTGAGAGTGGGAGAGTGAGTGAGTGTGAGTGCGAGTGTGAGTGTGAGTGTGAGTGTGAGTGAGTGTGTGAGTGAGAGTGAGAGTGAGTGAGCTCGAGTGCGAGTGTGCGTAAGAGTGAGAGTGAGTGTGAATGTGAATGTGAGTGAGTGTGAATGTGAGTGTGAGTGAAGAGTGAGTGTGAGTGAAGAGTGAGTGTGAGTGAAGAGTGAGTGTGAGTGTGAGCGTGTGTGAGTGAGAGTGAGGGTGAGAGAGAGAGAGAGAAGAGAGAGAGGAGTGAAGGAGAAATCTTCAAGGTTGGTGACGGCGCTGCCAGTCCGGTCCACGGTCACTAGCTCTTCTGGCCGCTTTTTGCCTATAACGATGGGCATGAATGATTGTCAGGTGGCAGAAGTTGGAATCTGAATTGTGCTGGCATCAACCCGAAGTGCGCCTTGGGGAAGCAGGTGGCATGTGACACCCAGGTCAATTTAATACAGGGGCCCGCGAAACCTCCAATGTTGCTCCTGGCCATTCGAGAGCAAACATTTTAAGCCTGCATTTGTGCAGTTTGGAGCCCTGGCAAGGGTGGATCTAGGTTCCTTGATGAGCGGCACAGAATGAAACTATTCCGGAAAGTATGGAGTCTATGTAGAGAGTTGTCTCACTCATCCTACACAGAATCTCACAAGGGTTTCTCAGCGGTTCCCTCATCCCAGCCCGATTGTGGGGCGCGTATCTTGATGTACTTATTGCCAGGTATGAGGGCACAGTCACTGCCACCTGCCGCTTTGGAGCAGTGGAGCTGGACAATGGCTGCTATGAGGCACCCTGCAATGACACGCAGAGGCGCGACCACGACGTGCTGCCGGGCGCGCGGTGGGTGAGGCGAGGTGCCGTCTCACCGCCCAGGTAAAGGTCCAAGAATCAAAATTTGTACCCAAATTCGGCAACTGACATGAGTCTTGTTTAGCTTTGGGGTTCAATTCCAAGAACCGTTAGAAACATTTTTGGTCTCAAGCTAGGCAAGAAAGATGAGGCTCTAGTTTCACAATGGGGGCCCAGATGGTGGAAGTCTCATCCATACATCATGAATGGCCCAGGGTTCTGACTGCTGATTTGCTTTCCTTGGGTATTTCGCCATCCCGCTGCAAGGATGATTACTTTGACCAACAGCTACCAGATGAGCATCTCGCCACTTGGGCGCCCAGTTCGGGCGAGAGAAACGTGCTGCAATTGCAGTTTTTGTTCAACCTTTGCCTGGGATGAGGATGATCTGGAATAATTCACCCCAAAGGACTCATTACTGCTAAGCTGGGTTGCAAGCATTATAATACGCATATGGTTGCACATCATATCTATTTTAGAAGAAAGTGCTTGTGCCAATCTTCTACTTGAAGGGTCTGGAGATTTGCTGCCAGGGCAGAGTATGTCGCCTTCTAATTGAAAATATGTGTTCAGTTCTCATATCTTCTATAGTAGGTTCCTGCACTAAACGAAATACAACAACCAGGAGAGAAGTGTCCGTGCATGCCCGCTGGCGACTTGTGCTGAGGCTGACAGGGCCAACCTTTGGCTTTGATACACGCACGTGGGGGCCTGAAGTCAGATGACATTTTTTAGGCTTGTGCATTTGTCACTGTCACGTGGTCAGGGCTTTTGAGTTGAGAGGTTCTCTCCAAGACCGGCCCCAGTGAAACAAGAAAACTGCAGAAGGTCGAGCGGCTGACGATGCGGGGGTTTTGCCCTTGGCCTCACGTCAGGCCCAGCTCCTATAACAATACCATCGTCAGCTGCGGAGTGCGGACCTCAGCGTTCGATCGCTGGCCAGGTTGGCAAAAGGAGATTCGTCAAACACGTGGTTGATGTAAGACGCCTGGCCACCAACCCATTCCATTTCCTATGACATGCGCTTTGCAAGGGATTCCTCACAGGTGTTCAAGTTGGGTAACCTGGTAAGTCTCATTGATTGGTCGCTGTTTGTTGGCTGTTTCCTGCATCCACAGATGTTGGGTTCCGGTTCCTTCGTGTGTGGCTCGTTCGCTGGTTGCACCGGAGTCCATGCATGGATGGACCCTCGGTGTGCCTGCCTCGGTGCTTGGGCTTCTTCCTCGGTGCTTCCGGAAGACGAGGCGATCCATGCGCCACTGATGTCCCGAGGCGTTCAACAGTTCGATCGATGGAACTGCCAGTGATGAGCTCAAGTCTAGCTGGAGCTCGTCCATGTGGCCGGTGGCGATTTGTGGCTCAGGTCCTTACATAAATAGGCCCTTGAGTGGCAATGTCCGAATTCCTTCACAATGGACATATGAAAATTCGTGTTGCTGAAATGATGTTGAAATAAACTAGTTTGGGACCATGTTGTTCAAACAAGGCCTTGAGTTTAGTCAACTGTTCCAAAGCTCCGTTACATGGACATGAAGGCCCTCCTTTGCTCATTGGTTGTTATTGCCCGGAGCTCTCAGGCGTGACTTGCATTATGGGTGCCCGGGGGCCTGGTCAGAGTGCAAGGTTCAGGGTTCTTGTGTGTTTTGCTCTATCAATGTGGCCGTTCCTGTTTCTTCAAAGTGCCCGGAAACAACTTTGTGTAGTTCTTCTGGGAGGCATGGCAGTATGCCTGATGGGCAGCATCAAGCCGAGCATACAGGAATCATAGCAAACCAGATGCCAGGGTGAACTTGCTTCCCTAGATCCACGATGTGCAACCATGTGCCACATCTTCCATGGATTCCTGTTTGCGGCGGTACGCGGTGATGCCGGTCGTCGCTGCATCGCTGAGGACTACACCTTGGACGCCTCTGGTTGTGGCCCTCGAGGATCTGCCGGGCATGGGGTTGCTGGGGCAGCCAACTCGGGTCGCATGAGACAGGGGCACAGGGTGGAGGAGGCCTCCAAAGTGATAGAGTGATAGAAGTACTTTCCCAAGGGAATTCACTTATTCATTTATACTATATCATTATACTATATCGTTATGGTAATGTGACAAACAACTTTATGCTTTGCGGTTGCATACTATTGTGCTATACTTCACTATGCTACAGTTCAAAAAGAAGTGTTGTACTAATTATATTATACATATATATATACACCCAAAATGTTGCACTATATATTTCAATAATTTGTCCTGGGGCCACTTCATGTTTTGCAGATTGGGCGATTGGCATGCCAACACCATTAGCCGCAGATGATCTCAAGCTTCAGAGGATGCCCTTTGGGAAGCTCCTACCTGGCACAGTTAGGGAGCCGCGCTGGGCACTGAGCTGCATCCTGTGGATGATTGGGAAACTCACCCACCAAAATATGTTCAGCTGCTGCAGTACTCGGCATGGGTTCCACACGTGCTTTGGAGTTTGCAAGTTGGGCAAGGGACAGCTGGTTTAGTAAGGGGCACACAAGACAAACATTGGTTGGTTCCTAAACTTAGCAGTTAGTTGTAGGACGGAAAATGCTTGCATTAGTGGCTCAAAGAAGTTTCTTTTGGCGAGTGGTGTGTGAGAGAAACACGGGGAGGCATCACAGACTTGGAGCTTACTCTGGTGACCCTGGTGCGGCCTTTGGGATTTCTCTTGGGCCAGAGCCGGATGACTGGTTGCGGGTGAGGAGGTCCATCGACATGAGCTGGGGAGACTGGCGTTGCGTGCCCCGCTGTCACGCCCAGGAAATCAGCACTACATTGGCGCAAGCCTCAAGAAAGCGTGTCCCATCACTTCCTGGGGCGGAAGACGGAAGACGAATAGGATTGAATAGGGTCAACGTCGTGCTCGTACAGGTGGCCATTGAAACGGGCCGTCTTCGTGACAGAACATCACAGTCCAAACGAACACCTTGGTCTGTCAGCTCCATTGGTCCATCTTTGTGAGGAATTGAATTCGTTTCCTTCGTACAGGTGGCGGATATTCAAACCACTCTGCTTGGCATGATTTCAGCTGCCCTGAGGAAGAGGCCCTTGTGAGCGAGGAGAGCACTTCAAGGCCCACAGTGGCACCGGTTGCCAGTGGTTCAGCCTCCATCCAGATTACAGATGATGGCAAGAGGTTTGTAAAGTTTGTTTGTGGGTTCGGACACTTGTGCTACAGCGTTAGTTTGATGATCAAAACATGATTTTGCATGTGGGACCGTGCTTTTTGCCGTGACCGAAGTTGACAAAGATAAGAGTAGTACTTGCTAAGCAGCTGGACGTATACGAAACGGCACCGAGCTTCGGCTTGGCGCCGCCGGACGAACCAAGCCGGAAGGACCTGCGCTTCGGTGCTCCCGGGCTGGACCGGCACCTTCGGTGTGAGGCGCGGTTTACGAAACCCACGAAACTCACGCGTGTCTTTTAGACAATCACGTAGAGTGAGACTTCTAGACTTGATCTCAAACCATAGAACGTCATAGAAAAAACTTAGAGACTTAGATAGGCAGTCTGTGGCTTGGTCTTTTTGAGGATGCATATGAGTCCTCCATGGAAGCAGAAAACGCCAGCGTTCATTGACTTGATCTGACTTTAGACTTGTCCAGCTTCCCCTCATTAATGTGCTGCTGGTGGGTGGGAGAAAGCATCAGCAAAATCGTTTTTGGGCCGAAGATGCGCTTTCGCTTTCGCTTTCGCGCCCGATTTTGTCTTGGGTGTTTTGTGTATGAAGGAAGGATCCGCCAAATTTGATTACAGGTCCAGAACTTCAGGAAGTATGATGGACTTTGGGGTCAACAACTTCACAAATTTGACCAACAGTAACTAAATTCTACTGTACACACTACTGTACACATTCAGCACTCCTGTCCTGCAAGGTGTTCTTATGGAAAAATCACAGGCGATGGCTCAGGCAGGGAAGTGAGGTGAAAGCCAGGGAAGTGAGGTTTGTCTCCGGTGGCTCGACACAGCAGTGTATTGGTAATGGCCCGTCATGACATAGTGACATAGTGACTTGATGCGCAGTGGCCGACATAAAGGACCAACAGGGCTTCTGCCAATTCAGTGTCAGGGCCTTGATTTTTGGATTGCATGGATGCAATTAGCTGGAGTATTCATAATTGTTGAAGGGAAGTTGGTGCCAGGCTGTGCCCCCGGTTCATGCGCTAGTGGTCCTGGCCTCAAGCGTTGAAGGAATTTCGCTGGAGACAAAGGGCATTTGACAAATTAAGAAAAATTCTAAGGCCCTAAGAGTCAATGAAATCAAAACCCCTTTGAAAGGCCCTTTGTCTTCCAGACAATCTCTCTTGTAAAAAATAATCCTAAGAGATTGAGTCAATGTTGAGTCCTGCGAGCCTGCAGGGACAGTCGATGCTTGCGTGGGTTTGTGTGGCAGCGTCATGCTAGCAACAAGAATGGCCCTCCAAAAGCATCATTTCGCGAATGAAGTAGAGTCATTGCTTCAAATGAACGTGAGCCTGAGGCGACATTGCGACAATAGTGATTGGTGGAACTGCCATGCAGACGACCATCAGCAGCAACATGGCCAGCGCAAGCCTCAGCGTCCCTGCAAAATACCCTGATTGTAGTAGATGTATGTATATATATATATATATCTGTGTGTGTGTGTTGTATACACTTGTAATATACTCCGGGTTTGATGGGTGTGGCCAAACCCGTGGTCAATCACTCCTCCCTGGCCATCTCTGACAAACACTTGGTGCTTTAGAGTTGCAACATGCCATGCTGGTTCAATTCAAGAACGATAGTTCCACAAATTCTGCTTACCAACCAGACCAACAATCATGTTTTGTGGTTTGTTCGTGTTTGTTCAACGTGCCTGGCGGCCCCATGCGTCAGAGCCGAGGCTTTGACAGCGTCACCAGGAACTGCTCCACGGTGGACACTGCCTACGAGGGTGAATTCAGTCAAAGCCTGAGGGTGGGGCAGAAGCCAAGAATTGCAAAGGCGCGAGATCTTTCATACGCTTCCGTAGATTTCAGGCCGAAGGGCGAGGGACAATTTTGGCAGAGGCTGTTTGCTTTGTACAGCTAGGAAAAGAACTAAGAGCTACAATAAGGCCATATACAAACACCTGGAGGATTGGTTGGGCAAGATGGCCCCCAAAGAAAAGGACATGGGCGCTTCAGGAGCACGCATTGGAAGTATTATTTGGCTCCATGACGGGTTTTGGCGCTCCCCCATGCAACCTGAGAGTATGAAACAAGCTCTGCAATGAGAGGTTTGACCCTGCTTGATGAGGTCTGACCTGCGAAGCTGCGGTCTTGTTTGGCAACACCAGTGGTTGCAACCCAAAACCCGTGGCCGGCTCAACCGTAGAGGCTCGACAAAGAAAGGACTGAGGACTGAGGACTGAGTGATCAGGGAACACATGATCAAGTGAGCAGCCAAGTGAAACCATGCTGTGATCAGGGAACAAACCTGCTGAGTGATCAGTGGGCAGGGTGGTGACAGTGAAGCCATGTGAAACCACTTCAGAGACGCCGCGGGAATTATAGATTGTCACTCCACAACACACAGCTCTTGGCTCCCGTGCGACCCGACCCTTTGGCGACCCTCGCTTTTTGACCGCTTGTCGGAAGGGGTTGCTCCAGGCAAGGCAAGTGGTGGAGAGTGCGGTGGCTTTTACATTGCCAGCAGTGAGTGCCACAGTGGAAGAGATGCAGGCTGACCGGACCAGTCGGCCACCGGCGGACCATCCAGGCAGCTGTCACGTTCCCAGAAAGATCAGTTTGGCGGTATGAAGTGGTTGAAGTGACAGTTGTCCTTACATGTTGATAAATGGTAGGCCCAGCAGTGTTTGAGAACACTTTTGCTCTCAGTGCAAGAGTCTGTTCCACAGCACTTTTGCAGCACCCTCCTGCAATGCGATACTACCTGCAAGTAGGACAACCCCAGCAATTGGGTTGGCAAGGGGAACCAATAGCATGTCGGGAGTCGATGAATGATGGCTGAAACCCGATTTAGATTCGGGTCCAGCACAAATCATCTACAGTGAACGTGCCTCCACATGAATTTTGCTGTGTCCTAGGTTTGCTTGACAAATAGATGTGCCACTTCCTGTGCTCCCATATCCCTCCCATAGGCTGCTTGAAACAAGACAGGCTGTGATGGACTCAGATGCCTCTAAGCGCGCCTATGAAATGACGCTCTCTGACAGTTTGGAGGTGCCTTTGGAGGTGGGGAAGCCCGCAAAGCTAGCCTCCTGTGCGGCCAAGCAGTTTGATTGGGTGTGTTTCTTGTTTGGTGATGTCTGGCTTGGCAAGCAAGGGCAGGATGGATTTTGGCCGGAGGGGGGCCAGAGGTGGAAAGGAGTCTTTTTTGAAGCTCAAGCTCATGGCTAAGCATTCTGCACGTGGATTTTGTTGCTTCTCCATACTGCAATTGGCCAATACAAATTAAAGAATGCAATCTAGAAATTACGTGGAAAATGCAGACCCTGACAGAAATAGGATGAAATTGGCAAATCAATGTAAATTTGCCCGGCTGCACGTCGTTTCCAGGTCTTTTGCATTCCGGCACGCCCATTCGCAAGCCACATGATACAACGGAGCAGAACCTCGCGCTTCACCATCTTTGGTGCTACCAGGATGTCACCGTCTTCTCCATCCAGGTCTATGATGCCAATGCTGCTCGGCCACACCAGCCGAAAGGGCGACGTCCATGACCGGCTTTTGGAGCCGGAGAGGTGAAACGTACGCTCTTCGGCAGTGCTTCGCTCCGATAAAACCCCCCGAGAGGCGCAGGAATGCTCTCTTCTTGGCAAGAGCGGGGGCCAACAATATTCAGCATGCATACATGTTTGTGCGAGCACCTGCGCGTGCATCGAACCGCCGTTTGGTGTGCTATGGCAGTCTCTCTCTCTCTCTCTCTCTTTCCCTCTCTCTCTCTCTCTCTCTCCTCCGAGGCGGCTCGACGATTGCAAGAGGCGGGGCCCCTCAGTACCGGTGCAGTGGTCTCACATTTCCGAATGTGAATGCTGACTGGTGCTTAGTAGGGAATAAGGGAATGAGCCCCCAATAGAGATTCTATTGGATCCATTCCCTCATCCCCTGCTAAGCACCAGTCAGAATGGCTTGGTGTTTTCGGATCCTTAGGGACTTGGCTGTAGGGCTGGTGCTGGAAACTGTTCCTACCTGGGTGTGCACATCCATGTGATGACTGTCATTTGCGGCAAGGGTTCAAGCCATGCTTTTGCGCAAAAAAAAAGGTGCATGTCAATTGAACTTTTTCCAGGGAAGGCGGAACCACCATGAACCATCCAGGCTTGCATGTGATCGCTCGTTTGTGTTAGAGGCACAACTCAGTTGGAAAAAGGTCACCCTGTCGCATTGGTCTTTTTTCGCAGCAGGGTGAGCAAGTCGATCTTCGGTCAGCCTCGCCCAAGGTCAACAAGACCAACTTGCAGGTCAACGTGAACTTTCAGCTCCGAACCAAAGGCACCGCGGCCAACCAGGCGCGAGCGGAGGTTTCGCAAAAAGAGGGCAAAAAGGACTGGGTCAAGGTCTGAGGGGGCAAAGGCTTGGGAGTCCTTTGGTGCGGAAATGGCTATTGCGTACACGTATGTGCAAGTTTGTTTGATCACTACTGTGCAGTGCTATGATTGGCTTTGCTACAGAATGGCATTCATTCAGTATGCAGTATACAGTATTCGGTCATGCTTTGTCACACTGGGATGATGCAACTACACCCCGGTTCCGTTCAATGGACATTGTGTTTTTGTGGAACCGGTGGCCGTGCCACGCTAGGATGCTCAAGTCAACAGCACGGGAACCAAGTCATACAGACGGATACGGGCGAAGAGCCGAGGTGATTGTATGGAAGTTGATTTAAAGAAACACTAGCTCATTGTGCCGGCATCGCGGGTTCCAAATCTGCATCGTACCGATACACCGATATCCCCCTAGCTGGCTGCAGTGGGGGTTCGAAAGCATCCCCGCTTCTCATCACGAAAGGTAGCTTGAGCTACCTGAATTCTCCTTGCTTTAGCAGAAATGTATTACAATCAGGAGTTGGGATTGTGCATTGTGGCATTGAGCTTGGTCCTGTAAGAGATATCTGTTCGTCGGGGGGGCCCCCCTGGATCAAATCCCCCCTGCGCCGGTTCACCGTCATGGACTTCTACCAGGGTTACTTGTGATTGCTTGCTACCTTTCGTTCACCCCCTCCTCTCTCAAGTCTCTCTGAAAGAGGGAGCGACATGGGCTACAGGGAGTTCCCCACATGTCGCGCCTCAAGGGCCGTTCTCTCCTCTGGCTGAGGCTTGAAAACCAAGATCGAAAACCTAGGAAGCAGTGGCTCTTCAGAGCCTCTTGGCTGGCAGGGAGGAGTTGCTCAGGAGCCTCCCAGTCCTTGCAAACAATATGTGTTTGACACCTCGCACGAACTGTGGACGGCGTCTCATTGGCGCTCCGAGGCAGCAGGTCTTCCAGGAATCTTTAGCCAAGAACCTGGAGGCCAGGACCACTTTGTTGGAGATGTTGCAGACTATAGAGATCCTTTCAGTGTCAGAGTCAGTGCCGATGAGATTGATATAGTTCTGTAGTTTGTTTGTCAACAAAATGACTTTGTAAGAGATGAAGATTTATGAGGTTGTGATGGCTTGTTAGAGGCGCTCAACGCCAGCACCTCGTTTCTTGTCCCGCTACTTCCTCACTTGGAGAATGCTTGGGCAGCGGGCAGTTCACCGGGGTCAGCCCGCTGCTCACACCAACTTGGCCAGGAAGCTGCCAAAGTTGATCCGGAGAACTTGGCTTTGCTCGACTCCACCGCACAGGCCACGGCACAGCGTCGCTTTAGCTCATGAATGGCTTTCCGCGTCGTTCGATAGATTGGTTGGACTGAAGTGGTTGAGCAAATGGTTGGGGGCAGTAGTTGGACTGCTAAGAATACATGATGCTAATTGGGTGCAGGGCAAAACTCCATCTTGGGGGAGGATGAACTAAAATTCATTCGATGGGGTGCAGATGTTGCAGTGGCAGGGTAGCCAGCACAGGCTTCAATCTACTCAGTTTTTGGATCTCTTTATCCTCTCCAGGAAAGGTTTGAACTCATTTTTGGCTTGCAATGACTTAGAACATAGATGAAGATAGCACTATACAAATCTCAAAATCGTTTCACAGTTCGCTCCTTTCCTTCAGCTTTTCTCTGCACGCAGCACAACGCAGGCTGTCAAGACTGAAGGTGTCACCGTGAAGCACGTCGAGGCGGACGACGGAGATCGCTTGGAGATTCACCCGATGAGCAGATCACTGCTCCACTCCTGGGAAGGAGCTGCATGTGTCAAGAGCCCAAAAGGCTGTCATGATGGGCAATCACTTTGGTTAAGCTAGTCAATGAATGACATTCACGCCGCCCATCGGCTTGAAAGCTCAGTTTGCTAACCATCGGCTCTTGAAGGCTTCTGAAAGTGTTTACCGCTGAAATTGAGGTGCAAACTTGCGTTACCTCCCGCTGCTTAGGAGAAAGGAACAAATGTATCATTTGAGGATTGCCCGTGCCACCAACCCAAAGATTGATAAGGATGTTGAAGGATCCAGAAGGGTTCAAAAGTCTCAAAAATGAATTCACATGTGTCATCGCTTTTCACCATTGCTTCATCACCGGACTGTACCATTCCTTTTCTCATACTTCAACATGCTTCTTTCAGCTTTCCACCTTTGATTTGCACTAGTCACTAGTGCTGCATTACCATATCATGGCTTCTTTGTACTTTTATCATGCCTGTATTATACATGTATCACACATTCATTATGCTTCAACATATTTGTGCATGATTGCTGCCTATTTGTCAAACTGGCTTATTGATCGTTTATCACAATTTTGTTCATTTGTTTCCTTCTTTTGTCCACCTGTATCATACCTTTAATATGCCTTTATCTTGCCTGTTGTATATGTCATATGATGTCAGTGTGCTGGGTACTGGGTTATTGTTTATATTTTTTTGTGTGTTAATCGCGGGGTGCGTTGCTTTAACTTATATACATATTTGTTGGTTGTGCAGCATGGTTCATCGTTATCCCATCATTGCTACACTAGTATCTCTTCACCAATCTTTATCATACCCTTATCACCTTTGTCATCCTTCAACAAGACTTAATCACCGTGCATGCTTTCTCATCATGGTGTCATTCTGCCTTTTGCAATTGCCAAACATACTTCATTGTGGTTCATGTTTCATGACGTTTCATCTTCAGTTCCTGCTTTTCCGCATCTTGCTTTGTTCTTCGTGTTTTCAATTTTTTGTTCATCATCACACCGTCAGCCTTCCTTTATCATATAGTTTTCATACTCGAATCATACCTTAGCCCTACCTGCACCATGCTTTTTGATACCCTCATCATATTTTTTTAATGTTTTGGCTACCTTCGTCATAGCTTCATCATACTGTACTGAATGTTTTATCATATCATTGTCTTTTGTCATACCTTTGAACAGCTTGATCATACCATACTGTACCTTTTTCATACGTTTGCCATACTCGTTCAATCGTTTTCATATTTGATCATACGAATCGCTTTCGCAATTGTCCCCCGTTTTTCGTTGCTGCTCGGCGTGCCGTTGTTGTAAGACCCGGTGAGCACACATTTGTTCAATGAGTATTCTTTTGTGGTCCGGTCTCGTTGTAAGATCTGGTGGGTCCATAGAGCTTTTCACACATGTTGTGTTCCGATGTCGTTGTAAGATCTGGTGAGCGTGTGCTTTTGCTGCGGGTTGATCTGGTGTTTAAGGTGGATGCATCCACCGTATCTTTATGGACGCTACTAATTACCCGCTCCGTGTTTTACATTTTAGTGGTCAAAGCGCAAGATTGAAACTAGGTTTATGAAATCCATTCTTCTCTATCATGTGCCGATCTCCTTGCAAGATCTGGTGAGCCCGCGGTTTTCTCAACCTGTGTGTCATTTTCATTGTTCCAATCTCGTTGTAACATCTTGTGAGCGGGAACTTGTTTCAATTTGTATCAATTTGTATTTCTTGGATTCTTCTGGCGTTTCGATCCACATGTTTACAGTGTTCCAATTTTGTTGCAATGTCAGGTGGGTGAAACGTTTTCGATGTGTTTGTTCCGTTGTAAGGTGTGGTGAGCCGGCACCGCATTTTTCTCATTGTGTATCATGTTCATTGCTCCAATCTCGTTTGTAAGATTTTGTGAGCAGTGCAGCACGCACTTTTGCCAATGTGCGCCATGTTCTTGAATCCGATCTCGTTGTATCGTTGTAAGATCTGGGAGCCTGCACTTTTCTCAAGACGCATGACATTTGTCATGATTCTGTCATGACCTGTCCAGATATAGTTGTAAGATGCTGTAGGATCTTGTGAGCCCGCTCAATCAATGTGTTTATTTGGGGCATTCGATTCTCGTTGTAAGATCAAGTGGGTCCATGTTTATTGTTTGGTGTTCCGATCTCTTTGTAAGATCTGGCGAGCCAGCACTTTTCTCAACATGTATCATGTTCATTGTTCTGACCTAGTAAGGTGTTATAGGATGTTATAAGATCCTGTGCCGCTCAATGTTTAATTGTTTTGGCGTTCTGCTGTCGTTGTAAGATCAGGTGGGTCCACACTTGTTCGTTCTTCTCATTGTGTATTTTTGGTTGGTGTTCAGATCTCGCTTTGTTGTTGCATGTTCATTATGGTCCTTATGGTTGCCTTGTCAGATTGCATTGATCCAGGAATGATGTGTTTCGGAATGAGGTGACATGAGCCCAAAGGGTCCCAACCAAACCATCTGAACCGTGGAGAGGTCAAGTTTTCCTAGCCATACCTGGCAAAAACATAGCATTATATGCTGTAGTCATTGTTGTCATGCACATGCTCGCTTCATCCCGCAGGCACCTTGATGGACATTTAATGCTTATGTTGTCACAAGCTTTGGACTTGCAAGAACTTTCTTTACATTGGAAAAGCCCTTGAGGAACTCATTGAAAGAACATTGGGACATCGTGAGATTAGATCTTCACAATGTAAAGGACTTCTTCCAAGTCTCAAGACAAATTGGATTGGTATTTGATGAAGATTTGTGACTTGATGTGATCTTTTGGGAGTTTTTCCTCATTGGCTATTAGAGGGTTGCCATTCCCAACCTGAAAACAAATGGGCCTTGCAGACTCCTCGTGTGTCCGTCTCCTATGAGCTGGTGCCTGTGGAAGAGCCTGAGGACGGACTCCCACAGACAGCCAGTGGTGCGTGCGTTTGTCTCTTTGTGTGAAGGAAGGTGTCGATGATTTAGTTCCCCAACACGTCTCCAAGCTCCGAGCTCCCTTTTTGGGGAAAACATCATGATCCAGAGTTCAATCCAGCGACGATTACTAGTTGTGGTGCAGGATAGCGGTGCTACACATCTCAAAACTCAAGTGAGTGGTGACAGTTTGACGACAACACTGCTGCATGACAGGGCGATCCCTTTGGGAATGTTGGCCACCAATACCTACCAACCGCATTTGCTGGTCACGCTTACACTGGTCCTTGTTGGAAAATGCATCCAGGCCCTCCCAAGGATTGCAGAGGGTGTGGCGAAACGACTCCAGAAACAATCAAAGGAGGGCGGCCCAATGATTATCAACATCCTCGCTGCGATTTTTGGCATTATTGCGGCTGGTGCTTGTGCTGTTTTCGTCATGGGGCCCAGTGGTGAGCACGACACAATGAAATGAGCAGTGGTGTAAAGCGCCAAGAATGCAGTTCTGTTGGGAATTAGTATCAAGCAGTAAAATACGGCACTCATGCCTGGTGATGCACAACCCTTTGGTCGTGCCCCTTCCAGCCTGCAACTTGAAGAGGAGGCAGCAGCTGAGAAGAAATCTCCCAAGCCTTCAATCAATTTTGATACTAGCGCAAGCCGGGTTTCTAAGCAGAGGCATGTGATTGGCATGGCATGGCTTTGGCACCTGCGCCCGATTGTCATGACCCGCGAGACTTTGAGGTCGTTTGGCAAATCAAGAAGCGCGGAATGATCACTCCAGCCAGCATCCCAGTTGTATAGAATGCTATGGTCTTGAATCGTGTATGCCAATGCCTTTCATACCTTTCCATATCTTTCCTGCTACAGCATTTCCCCGAAGTGCATCAGTGTTCTTGCTTGGAACAACGCACGCGGGTGACTTCACGTTTTCTTGTAAAGGGAAAGAAACGCCCCAAGTTAATGAACAGGTTTGCTTTTGGGCGTCGTGCTCGCCAACTGTACGGATCAACCATTTCCTGGCTCGTGGAAAAGACCTAGCAGATGCCCTTTTTGCGCTTTGATGCTGCCTATTACCAGTAAATATTGGGTTTGTCCTATTACCTGTAACAGTCAGTAAACAATGATTGAAACTATGACTATTTTTGAACAAGGCCTTTACTAACCATCATCATCCACTGTTACAGGTATTAGGATAGACCCGAGGTAAGTACACATTTTGGAATTTGTAGTGGTGATCATGGGGACACTCAGCGGTCAGTCATCCAGGTTCGGATGCTTGATGAGCCTGCGTCTCAGAAAGGTATGATGCCGTTGGGGTTGGATGAACTGGTGAAAACGGGTGGAACTTGAACATGCGGGGAAGTGTGCAAGAGAGAGAGAGAGAGACAGAGAGAAGAAAATTGATGAAAGGTTGACCTTATCCTTTAGGAATAGAAACGGGTCCATCTAAAAAGGGTTTTGCCAGCAGATGTTTGTTGTAGCCTTTGGGGCCCGTCCATGTCCAACCTGCCGCTGAGGGAAGCTATGCAGGACTGAATAGCTGGCCAATGCAATTGATGGTCCTGCAGGTGTCACAACCCACTAAGTGCTTTACCTGCTAGGCGGAGGTTGGCCCAATGTTT